ACCACTAAAAATATCTGAAATAAAAATTTCTTTAAATGGGATTGATAGCACATTAGACAGTAAAAAAAAATGAATTCAAAGACATAGCAAGAGCAACAATTGAAAATTACACACAGAGAAAAAAGATGAAAAAATGAATAAAACATCAGTGACCCATGGGACAATATAAATAATGTATATTTTTATTTGCTATATAAGTTCAAAGAGGGGTGGAGGACAGAAATTTTGAAGAAAAGGTTAAAGAAACCTGTAACCTACAGCTCCAAGGTCATACAAGCCCAAATAGGGCAGACATAAAGAAAACTATACCAGGACATGACATAATGACATTGGTGAAGAGTTGAAAGAGAAAATCTTAAAAAGTATCCAAAGGGAGAGGGGAAAAAGCCCACTACCTAGGAAAGAGCAATGACACTTTGCATAGACTTACTAGAAATTATGGTGCCAAGAGAAAATGAAACAATTATTCCAGAGTGAGACCAAAATCCTCAAAACATACAACCCCTGTCAACCTGGAATTTCATAATCACCAGGGCAAAACAAAGACTTTGAGGCCAAAAAGGCCCAGAAACCCACATCCTAGAATAGAGCCATTCAAGCTGGTGGGCCTCAGGTAACACCCAGAGTGTGTGTGGCGTGTTGAATGCTTAAAACTTAAGGCGAGCTCGCTGATCTCCCACCCTTCTTTTTCCTGCTCTTCTTTCTCTTACTAGACAGCAAAAACTACAATTTGTCTTCCCCAATGCAGGTTATAGAAACTAAATCTCAGCCTTCATCAAGCCAGCTACAAAACTTTTCTGTGTACAAACTATAAAAAATAAATTCCCTCACCTACCCTGCCCTTCCTTCCCTACACTCAGGAGGAAGGAATGTTGGCCATACAGAGAGGCCAAGGAGAGTCTGAACTGACAGGTCTAGCCAGATTCCTCTGCCTTGTGACCATTACATCATACTTTTTGTGCAGTCACATTGCTACACAGCTATCCATTCTTCATCAAGTCTAAACATAAAAATGGACAGTTTTTTCTTGGGTCTTTGAGTCCTGACTTCTGAGAGCTAACTTATCACATTAAACTGATTAAAAGTCATGTGTGGTGGCACATGTCTATAATCCCAGCACTTAGGAGGCTGAGGCAAGAGGATCAAGAGTTTAAGGCCAACCTGGACTACATAGCAAATTCCAAGCCTGCACTGCTTAGCTACTCACCTGAACTCCCAATAATGCAAAATGTTTACAGTATGGAAAAAATAAAACCAGGAAAAGGACTGCGGGGCATAGGTGTGAAAGGGAATTGCAATTTTAAATAATAGTTGTGAAGACTTCTCTATAACATTCCAAAAACAATTACATTTGCACTGTGTTAGCAAAGACTTGAAGAAGAGGGGAAGCAAACTGTTGGAATGTCTAAGAGGAGAGAGTTCAAACACAGCAAGCAACCAACGAAAAGAACCTCGCCTAAGAATGTGCCTGATTCATCTCAAATATTTATAAGTTGTATAACTTTGCCAAGAGTCAATGCTTTCAATATTCAAATGATCAGGGGAGCAACTTCCATTTCTCAGCTTCTCAATTGCCTGGACCACCTGTGGGAGAAAGTTCTGAACTTGGTCTAGTAATGAATGCTTCTCTGTCCAAACTGTTTGAAAAGTAGAGGTTTTTCTGGCCTGAGGCTTGGAATTGATAAGCAACTTGTTCCATGTTCCTCCTCCGCCATTGACTGCAGTCAGCAGCTCTTTGAACACTGACGCCCCTGCGCTCTCAGGAAGATGACAACTCTGGCTGGTAAGAGTTTCACCATGGACTGCCATACCTCCATAGCCAGCCTGTTCTCAAAATGTTATAATTTTCTCCACAGAGATCTTGTTCATCTTTACTGGACACATTATTGGATCTTTTGCCATTATATTGTGTACCACTGTGAGTGGGTTTTTTGTTTTTTCGGTTCTTTTTCTTTAACACAGAGTCTCTAAGTTGCTAAACTGTCTGGGCTAGGCTTAAATTTGTAATCTCCTTATCTCACCCTCCCAGTGTACTGGGGTTACAGACATGCACCACCACACCCAGTATGAATGTTCTAGTTTTAAATTAAAATTTAGGTTGGTTATTTATTAGTATAAAATACCATTGATTTTTAACTCCTAATCTTTAGTGGATTTTAATAGTTTTATTATTTTATTTATTTGTATAACCTTTTTTTGCGTTATTTAGGTATTTTTTCTAAGATGAATGATCATTTAAGCACAATTCTAGCTCGACTGTTCCTGTCCTTATACACTTACATATTCTTTTCTTCTTGCAATGGCCAGCAGTATTTTTAACATGTTAATAGTAATAGCACTATGCTTATTTTATGAAAAATGTATATAAAGCTTCTAGACTTATTTTATTGTTTGTGGCATGTTCCAAGGAGTTTTTCTTTTTTTTTTTTTTTTTTTTTTTTTTTTTTTTTTTTTGGTCTTTTTGAGACAAGGCAGTTCAGGCTGGCCTTGAGCTCACTTTGTAGCCCAGGCTGGTCTCGCACTAGCAATGATCCTCCTGCCTCAGCCTCCTGAGTGCTGGGATTACAAGCATGTGCCACCACGCCCAG